TAAACAGATTTTAATTCTCTTCAGAAGAATCATCATTTCAAAGGGATTAAGTGTTTCGAGAGCTTTTTTTGGTTAAAATTTGTATATGCCACAGAGAAGCCCCATCATGGACTGGAGATAAAGTGGTGGCTGCAAGGACAATGTGCAAGCCCCGTGTCCCTGGATATACACTCCTGTTGCTTATGCTAGTGTTTCCTTGTTGTTTCTGCTCATAGTCTCTGTTAAAACGAGCTGGTTCCCTCAATGGATGTTGGAATATTGAAAGATAATCTCTTCGATACATGTAAAATGGACACAATTGTCCGTTTGAGGTTGTTTATTCAGATTAGATAGGATCATGCTTGTAATGCTAGGAACGGAGCACTCGCCTGTCTCCATCCTCTGTGTTTATTTAAAACAAGTGAATGATTTACTGCAACACCTTCCCAGCATCTCGTGAGTGTTTACTGATGGATGAGCGCGACTGACATGTCCCAGCTCATAATTCACCAGTCACAACATAATTCAGAAAAGAAGCTTCTGTTGTCAACACACAACCCTCTTGCAGTGATAGGACGTTAAATTATTTCAGATGTTGGGTGACGGCTGCCATAAAGCTCGGTGACGCTAGTTGAGCTGTAGCTTCTGACTTTGTTTAGAACAGACTCGCTGTGGTGACTCAGCATGACGCGGTAGCGACCTCTGACGCGGAGCTGCCACTCGACAGGACGGCTCCGTGGGGCCAAAACGAGATGGGTATTTGCACACTGCCATTTCTTCTGTGTCCTGCAGAAGAAAAAGTTCGCCCTGAACGAATCGTAATGTACCGTTTAGTTTTGTTTGCCTCAAACTGGATGTTTCCTCTTTCTCGTTTTTAGTTTTGTTTTAAGGGGTCCTTCCCACCTATCTGCCAGCCCAGGCAGGGGCCAATAAGCATTTGGGTGCGAGTTAAACCCACGGTGCATGAACCTGCTCGTGTGCCCGGGAAGGCTGTTGGACTCAGTGAAGTTCAAGAGAATCTCTAGTGGGAGATGTCCCTGCCCATGGCAGGGGGTTGGAACTAGATGATCTTTAAGGTCCCTTCCAACCCTGACAGTTCTATGATTGTATGTTAAAACCACAGCGAGGTGGAGCTTCCCCCTGCTCTTTTATTTGGATTTCTGCCTCCCTGACCCGCACTTAGAATTAGAGTAGCTCTCGTTAATGAAGCTGCGTGGTGCAAAGAAATGTTGGTGTCTGGAGGGATGGTGCTAACAAGAGTGGCTTCCTGGACCAAAGCTTTACACCTAATGTGCTCCCCCCAGTTGCTTTTGTCTCAGCTAAAACTTCTGTGTCAGCCAAGATGTCACCAGACAGTTGGGAAAGCTGAGCAGGAGGCAGTGGTTTGAATCACGATGTGAACAAGGCGTGCAAACGCAGCCCTTTCCTAAAGGTCTAAAACCTGCCACAAAAGGAGTCGATAGGTAGCTGGTAGGTGCTGATGTGGAGTATCAGTCTCTGGTACAGGCCTTCAGCTGCCTGTAACAAGGAAAGATGGTTAAAACCGTGCAGAATGTTCCCGTTCTGCATGGGCAGGGTTTTCACGGGCATATTTGATCCTAAACCACAGGTTGTGTGGGTTGAGAAGAAGTAAATCTCTTCTAATAGCTCATCAAGGTGGCTGTCACTGCCAGCGTGTTCATTAGCCAAAGCTGAGTCAGATCACACAGATTTTGAACCCCAGTGCCCAAGTTAGTTATCTGTGGCAAAAAAAATACAGCGGTTTTTTCCTATAATATAATCTATGTCACTGTGCAGCACAAGACGACCTTGGGAAAATCTCATTTCTCTCTTGGAAGGCGTCAGCATTGTTAGTCAAGATTCGATGGTACTTTAAACAGCGGGAGATTAGACTTCCAAATTCGCAGCATCGGCTATTTTGGGCAGGGATTGGTATAATCCTGCCGGGTACCGGCTGCCTTGGCACGCCGAGCAGCGAGCGCAAGGTACAGGTTGATCTCGAAGACGGCTCACGCTGGGTTTCAATAATAAATGGTTTTCCTTCTGGGAGTAAAGACACCGAGTTTTTCAGGGGGTCTCCAAGAAAGTTATTGGTTTTGGTTTTAATGCTTTGCTAAGAAACGTGCCAACGCATTCTGTGATTCTGTGTCTGAGTGGTTCCCTGACCTGTGCCGATAAACAGAGGGGAAGGCACATCTCCAAGGACCCGAGAATTAGCTGCTCTCCTGGGCACGTCTGCCATCTGCAGGGCATTGCTCTCTGCGCTGGAGAGGAGTCCAGCAGGGCTTTGCGAGGTTCTTCTAGAGAAATTATTATTATTTGTAATGATTTTTTTTCCCCCTAGGTAAATATTACAGAATACATCCAATTTGTTTCCATCTGATCCTATGAATAGTCACTTCAGTTCTGAAAAAAAAAAAAGCAAGGATAGCAGAAATAAGCAAACCTTCTTAGATTTCTCTAGAGGTTGATGAATAATTGCTTTTCCTTTTGTTGTCTGTTGTTCAGTTTTATGAGTAAACATTTTTGTGCTTACAAATGGGATGTTTCATATGACACTCAAATTCTGGCTGTCCTTCTCTATCCCTTTAATAACTCTTTATGGTGGAGATCTTACACAAACAGCACCACTATAACGTTCAACTCCTGCTGGATGTTAGGTTTTGCTGAGAAAGGGATGTGTTTATGTGACAACCAGGGATCTTTCCGAGCATCCCAAAGAGATCTTTGGGTTTATAGTCCACAAACGGATAGAGGGTGCAACAAAGCTGCTTGGCTTCAACACTGCAGACCTGGGCTGCTGCTTCCTCACAGGGGCCATCCCCACCAACACCCCTGTCAAAAAAAATTCAGTGTAAGTGTAGTGTTTTGGACAGTAGTAATTACTTTAATCTTGCGAGTCCGCTGTTAGAGATCTCTTTTCTTTTTAACTTTTATTTCAGCAGCTTAAATATGTCTGTTGCTTCCTCCTGTTGCCCAGGTACTTGAAAAATATGTGATCTATGATTTCCTCAGCTGTTTTTTAACAATCGATAAAGAGACTTTATCTGGATCGTTCATTTGGAAGGGAATTTTCTGTAGGTAAACTTCCAGCTTTCAAAGGCGTAACAAAACTCCACGTATCAAGTGAAACGTAATAACCTCTACATCGTTTTTTTTGTCTTTGTTTTAGGTCTTCCTGAACAATACTACAGCCTCACTTGGTTCCTCAGCCCTATCCTGGGCCTGATCTTCACTCCGCTTATCGGTTCGGCCAGTGACCGCTGCACGCTGAGCTGGGGCCGCCGGCGGCCTTTTATCCTCGCTCTCTGCATTGGCGTCCTCTTTGGAGTTGCACTTTTCCTTAATGGTTCTGTCATAGGTAAATAATAAGGAAATCACCCACGTGTATCTCCCGCCGACATCGCTGCTTTAGGGTTTTGACGTACAAAGTGAAAGATGATGACCCACAGTTGATTTAACTTAATGTTTAGTGTTAAAATCCTTAGAAATCTCTGCAGCCCTGCGCTTGAGCACGTTTTTATTCTCATTTGAAAGTTACAGTGCCGTGCTACGTATTGTGCAACCGTAGCTGTGACAGGTAGTGGAGTGTTAGTAACACAATGGTTGCCAGCGTAATGTTTGCAGTCGCTGAGATGAATTTGGTTGATCCTTGACATGGGAAAATTGTAGCAACCTGTTCACAGGGAAATGTTTCCTGTTGTGATCCGTTTTCCCTTTAATGCGTATCTGGCAACACATCCTGTTTCCAGCATTATTTCAAAAATTATCTTTTCACTTTTTCTTGTGCTTTTCTTAGCCCCAGTATTGAAAAAGCCCAGAACACAGTTAATATCTGTTTATCAAAAACTATGTGGGAAAATAATTTTTCCTGAGCCCCCATCAAAGCTGGTAAAAATAGTTACCCTTGAACATAGTTTACTACAGAACTTAATCTCCAATCTACAATCTCTTTGTAAATTTAGTGTAGGAGAGGTGACAGCAAGAACATTTGGGGAAATGTTTACACCGTGGTTAGACTGATGTAAATGAAAGGAACTTAGCACCTAATAATATCCTCTTGGCTCTCTTTTTTTTTTGAAGGAAGGGGGAGGTTAGATGCAGCTCTATTGTGTAAAAGTTTTACTAATTGAGGGAAACGAGTGGAATGTTACCTTGGCTCAGCATATTAGCTTTTTCTAAGCCAGATTGGGATACCGTATGATGGTTTCCAGTTTTCTGCGAACTGCCATGGACAGCCTTTGCAGATGAACGACATTAGCTTCTGCTTTTTTAATTTACCCCAGCAATATTAAATTTTTGAATTGCTGTCATATGGTATCAATTGTACTTTGTTGTTGTGTCTCCATGATTTATTCCTTCTCCTCCAGATGCGTGCAGGATCTTAGACTGCAACACTCTTACAAGATTTTAATTGACAGGGCTCTTACTTCCACATAGTTTAGATCAGTAGCCATTGATACTGACAAGGAAACCTCATGCACAGTTTAGGGGCTTATTTTTGAAATATCTCACCTTCTGATAAAGCAGCACGAAGTATCATCTTTGATTTTGTCTGATTTTTTGTTGCATGGCGATGCACTCTGTTGTGTAGCTTTCTATACTCTCCAGGTACTCCAGCAGTACTTCTGTGTGATGTGACTTCTTTGAGACGCAGCAGCTGTTGCAATGCACTGTGAAAGCTGAGCTGGGTGCTTTAAACATCTGTTCCTGGGATGTGGTTGGGTTAGATTTTGCATGAAAACCCTCTTTTGAAAAGCACTTTAAAGCTCCTGTGTCTTTCCCAAGGGAGCCTGGAGCAAACCGAGCTGAAGTGAGACCTCTGCCGCACTAGAAGGTAGAGATTTGCCGCTAACAGTTTACACCAGCATAAGTCAGCACTAGAACAGCAGATGCATAATATGATAAAGCAGTATTTAAACTTTCATTGAAGTTTATGAAATGGTAGCTTGTGTCACTTTTCAGGGAGAGAAGGCCTCGCTCACTGGTCTCTCCCAAAAGGGGTGTCTTAACAGACTCGTTTGCAACTAGTTTTTCTTCTAGAAGGGCCCTGTAGGCTTTCGCTGTCTTCATCCCGATTTATGTTCACGCTTTCCCATCCTCTTTCTCCAGTTCCTTGCAATCCTAATTTCAGTCGAGGTCTCGGGGAAGCGCTGCGAAAACCAAGGTGGTCTCCTACCCTTTTCCATAACCTGGCCTCTGGCATGGGGAAGGGAACAAGGAGCTAAAAAAGAGGTTTGCTAATCCTTATAGTAACACAACCATGTCCCGGGAGAACAGCTGTGTGTGGATCTTGCTCAACTCTTGGCCTCTCTGCTGTACGTACTGTTCAGGTTTCCAAGAAATCTAAAGCACTGGCACCATTGGGTGGTTTTCGCTTTAAGATTCAACTGAGCGTGGAGCATGTATAAAAGCCTTTAGCACTCAGAGGACTTGGCATAAATGAGGATTGAACATGCAGGAATCATAGCACTCGAGATTGAGCTGATTTGGGGTGGCTTAGCTCGTTCATCTCTTTCTGCTGTCGTTTGCATCAGTTACGCTAATGGTTTTATCAGTCTTGCATGTGTAACTTCTAAATCTCCCTGATTCAAGTTAATTCATTCTTTTGTCAGTGGTTTGCTTAATGAAAAATTCTTCAGCTTTATACTTACGCTGCCTCTCTGTAGATGAAAAGCATTTCATCCCATGCTATCTCAATAGAAGCTGGCTGATGCTTTTTGCCATGCAAACTACCTTCATGTTGCTTCATCCTTAAAAGTTTCTCTTATAAAAGTGATCTAGAATATACGAATGTTTAAGAAGAGCGAAGAGAAAGGGGTTAGATTTCACTTTACCCTGGTTTACTGTGGCCATTGCACATCAGGCACCATGTCAGGAATGTTACCTGTGCTTGTAACTGACAGATAAAATATGTCATTTTGGATGCTCTCCTCGTTCGCCACGGCTGCCTTTTATAAAAACAGCCTTTGGCATTTGAAGGAAAATAACACGTGAGAAACACAAAATAATATCCAATGCTGTCTAAGATTTAAGAGGTAATTGAAAAATAACATCCTGAAAAATAAAATGTCAGCCTTACAAATGTAAAAACGTAACCTTTGTCCCTACGAAGCTGTGCCGGAGCTGAAATTGGCGTTTTGTTCCATAAAGGCACGTTTCTAGTGAGTGTGTCAGCCACCGTTCTCTTAAGGAGCTTAACCTTGCTCTTAGTGGTTTTGTCTTTTTGACCGATGTGCTCAGATTCCGCCTCTGTTTTTCCTCAGGTCTGGCTATCGGCGATGTCCCGGACAAGCAGCCCATCGGTATTGTTCTCACGGTCCTCGGTGTCGTGGTGTTGGACTTTTGCGCTGATGCGACGGAAGGGCCAATTCGAGCCTACTTGTTGGATGTGGTGGATAGCGAAGAACAAGACATGGCCCTTAACATCCACGCGTTTTCAGCTGGTATGGAGTCGGTCGATACGTTTTTGGCAGCTGTCAAGTGTTCCTGATGACCTAGTTGTGACTGAATTGATTTTTCCTGAACTTACTGCTTGGATTTTTTGTCTTCCGCAGGTCTCGGAGGAGCAATCGGTTATATGTTGGGAGGGCTGGACTGGACACAAACCTTCTTGGGTGGTATTTTTAAATCTCAAGAGCAAGTCCTTTTCTTCTTCGCAGCCATTATTTTCTCCGTCTCCGTTGCTCTCCATCTTTTTAGCATTGAAGAAGAGCAATATAACCCTCAGCAGGACAGGATTGATGACGAAGGAGACACACTTTCCAGTGTCAAATTCAGTGGGAGTCTCCCCCCTCTGAATCGACTGAATGTAATTAGTGAGGAAGAGCCGTATGGAGCCTCGATGTTCCATGACGAGGTTCAGTCGGAGCATGACCTCAATATGGAGTTCCTTGAGGTGAACATTGTAAGAAGCAAGAGCGACTCGGTTCTGCACATGCCCGATGCCACACTGGAAATCGAATCGGAGCTGCTTTTTCTGCACGACATCGAACCCTCCATTTTTCAGGACGCTTCGTATCCAAACACTCCCCACAACACGAGCCAAGAGATCGTGAAGTCCAAACTCAACCACCTGTCTGCTTTCCTCAGGGACAATGAGAAAGAGGAGGAAATGCTGCTTGATAATCGCTTAAACGAAGATAAAGTCCCAAATGTGAACGGCTCGCTACCAAAAGAGTTCCTCAACGGGCACGCTAGAATAGGCATGAAGCAATCCAGTACTTCCAATTCCATGCGAAGGCGGAGGCACATGTTCTACCGTCAGCCGTCGTACACCTTCTCCTACTACGGCAAAATCGGCTCTCACCGCTATCGCTTCCGTCGGGCCAATGCCATCGTCTTGATAAAGTCCTCGCGCAGCATGAACGACATCTACGACATGCAGAAGCGGCAGCGGCAGAGGTACAGGCACAGGAACCAGAGCGGCGCGACAAATTCGAGCGGAGACACGGAGAGCGAAGAGGGCGAGACCGAAACCACCGTCAGGCTCTTGTGGTTGTCGATGCTAAAGATGCCAAAGGAGCTGCTGAGACTGTGCGTGTGTCACCTCTTAACTTGGTTTTCCATCATCGCCGAAGCGGTGTTCTACACGGATTTCATGGGACAGGTCATCTTTCAGGGCGATCCCAAGGTAAGAGAACAGTTACCGCCTGCTTAGAGTCACTCATTTCTGAGGTGCGCTCGTTACGAGAAGACGTCTCTGCATTTGTGTTTGCCACAGGCCCCTTCTAACTCGACAGAGTTACACGCCTACAACGCCGGAGTTCAGATGGGCTGCTGGGGACTGGTAATTTATGCTGCTACTGCTGCCGTTTGTTCAGGTAAGAGACAGCAAAATCAGGCAGTGGAACGCGCCTCGCATACGTGTTTGCAATTTGAAAATAGTTTTACTTAGGTTTGCATCCGCCTCCTTGTTTGGGGTGAAGGATATTCAGGAAAAGCGTTTCGGCTGGTCTGAAGGGGAGGGGCTTCTGTAAGAATCAGTATTAAAAAATTCCTCGGAGCGTACAGGTGGAAATATGAGCAGATGGGTTAAGTGGCCTAAAGCACAAAGTGATATCAAAGGGTATTATTATCAAAGGGTATTTAGCTGGTTGTCAGGAAACTAAAAATGTGCTGGAAAATTCAAGCGTATGTAAAATGAGCTTTGCAAAGACTGTTTTTAAAATCGGGAACATAAACACACATTTCTCAAAGTCTTTCATGCTCTCCAGTAACAGAAGCTGCAGAATTTAGACTTGGAACACAGCCTCTGAAATGGAGAGTTTTCGCCAAACTCACCTTCTGCCTTTGGCAGCATGTGTGTGAGCACGTCTGCACAGATCGGTATCGGGGCCGCTGCCTCTTTGGTGAGACGTGTCAAACTGAGGTTCAGGTGGGCAGCTTGTTTCTCAACACAAAGGGAAGCATGGCTGTAAACGTCCGCTACCTGAGCGCTTCGTTCAGCGAGCGTGCTTGCATTAGAAACAGAATCTCCTCTGCGCTCAGAGTGTGCCCTTGTTGAGAAAGTAGGTAAAATTAATGAATGGACTGAGCGGCCCGTGATACGGTGGTCTCTTCTCAAAAATTACTAGCGATAGGACAAGAGGAAATGGTCTCAGGTTGCACCAGGGGAGGTTTAGATTGGATATTAGGAAAAATTTCTTTACTGAAAGAGTGCTGAGGCACTGGCACAGGCTGCCCAGGGAAGTGGTGGAGTCACCGTCCCTAAAGGTATTTAAAAAACATGGAGACGTGGCGCTTCAGAATATGGGTTAGTGGTCATGGTGGTGTTGGGTTGGCCATCGGACTAGATGACCTTAGAGGTCTTTTCCAACCAACCTTAATGGTTCTGTGATTCTGTGTTTGAGTTTCGAGGCGTTTTGGTTCTGTCTCGGACCCATAGCATGGTTTAGGCAAGTCTCCGTCAAGCTTCAAGCTGTGACAGCTGCATCAGTCCCATAAAACTTCATCAAGCAAACTGATAACTCATGTTGTTATTCTTCATCTCCGCAGCCTTGTTGCAGAAATACTTGGACAACTATGACCTTAGTATCAAAGTGATCTACATCCTGGGCACGCTGGGCTTTTCTCTTGGCACTGCGGTGATGGCGATGTTCCCCAACGTCTACGTCACCATGATAATGATCAGCACCATGGGAATAGTCTCGATGAGTATCTCTTACTGCCCCTACGCACTTTTGGGACAATACCATGATATTAAACAGGTACGTGGAATATTGTGAGTATTTGAATCACAGCAGAGTGTTCATGTTTCTCGGAAGATCATGGCAGCAAATTTATGGATTTCTGAAATCCCATTATTTGAGACACCTGCTTTGTGGGGATGTGTGCCAGAGCACAGATTCGTCCTTCGTAGTAAACAGCAAGAGCTGCTGCTTAAATCGGATGGTGTTAGCGTCAGGTTGGCTCAGTGGGGTCCTGATTGCGTCACACTGTGCTGAGACATAGAAGGATCTGGGTGCATATGAGATAATTCTGGGAGTACTTATTATATAGCTATAGTGATGTGTTCTGTTAGCATTGCTCAGGTTCTTCACCATCGTAGATATCAAAGTGAGTCTGGAAATGCAGATACAATTTTGGGGGAGACATTAAGCAAACCAATCCTACTGGCAACGACGGATTTACTTTCCATTTTTTAGCTCTATTCCATTTGGATTACAAATTACAGAAGGATCGTTTATTTTAGATGTGTCTGTATTGGGAGGGGGATTCCTTTTCATAAGCATTGCCCAGGGCAGTGATGGAGTCCTCGTCCCTGAAGATATTTAAGAGTCTTGTAGACACAACCTTATAGGGACATGGTTTAGTCGAGGACTTGTCAGTGTTGGGTTAATGATTGGACTCGATGACCTTAAAGGACTTTTCCAATCCGGGCAATTCTGTGATCATCATAAAAAATAATTTCCACCACCTTTTTTCCCGTAATTTTTTTTTTTTTCAAAACCTAATCTTGGAGCCAGTTCACAGTCGGAGCTCCCCAGCAAATACCTGCCCCTTGGTGTAAGATGAGGAGAACGTTCCAGCGCCCCTGGCAGGGGAATTGGAACTAAATAAACTTTAAGGTCCCTTCCAATCCAAACCGTTCTCTGGTTCGAGAAGTCGATAAGGAGGCTGTTGCTCTGGACTCGTAGAGCCTGCGTGAGCCACAAGGGTGGCGACAAGTTGACCACGAGGCTCAGAAGTTCGAGGAAGGAGACCTGTGTTTAAATATTTGATTTCACCCATCGTTTTACCTCCTAACAAACATTCCTCATCTTTTCCCAGTACATCCACCACAGCCCGGGGAACTCCAAGCGCGGATTTGGCATCGACTGCGCGATTCTGTCGTGCCAGGTTTACATCTCCCAGATCCTCGTGGCCTCGGCGCTTGGTGGAGTAGTGGATGCGGTTGGCACGGTCCGAGTCATTCCCATGGTGGCTTCCGTGGGGTCCTTCCTGGGTTTTTTGACAGCTGCCTTCTTGGTGATTTACCCCGAAGTCAACGAAGAGCCAAAGGAAGAACAGAAGGGACTGGGTCCTCCAGAGGCCACCGAGGGCAACGGCTCCAGGGCGGCCCGTGCTGAAGCTCACACGCAAAGGAGCTGCCGCGTCGTCGGAGCTGGAAGGCGAGTCAGCCGTGTGAGGCCGTCGCTCGCTGCTCTCCGGGGAGCGCAGGTGCAGGATCAAGAACTTCTATTTTATTTTATTTTATTTTTTTCCCAGGAAAACGAATCTTCACTACTCGTAGCTAAAATTGCAGAAGAAAAAAAGGCAATTTCGTGCAAAAGTGTAAATGAAATTCTGTAGTCCTTTAATATAGGTTTGAACAGGTAGCTATGATGCTAATTGCTTTCTCTACGACTTAGAAATGTCATTTCTGAACACTTTTTTATTAAGAATACATTTAGGTTTTGAATAAGTTGTATTAATCTGCATGAGACTCACAGTGTATACAATTAGCCGTTAGAAAAATTTAAGTTTTCGGCTGTTTTTAAACTAACTGAAAATGGAAGCTATCTTGACTTATAGTCTCTTGCTGGTTTTTTGTCTGAACATTTCAGGTTTCACTGGTGTAATAGCTGAATCAAACGCTTCGACAGCTCGGTTGATTCTTTTCTTAAGCATGGTATTATTGGTCTGACAGCTACAGTTCTTGAACATTAATTTCAGCCTTCACGTTTTCGTTCGTGCAATTACAACAGAATCGTTTTATCTGCAGTTGCTTTCAAGAAAAACAAAAGCAATTCACCGCGGTTTCCGAGAAGCCGCTTTGAATCCTTTCAGACATGAACTGTTCAACAACTGCTCCCCAGTCTGCTGCGTGTCAGGAGAGGGTGACGTCGGTGCGTGGCGCGAACTGGCGACGGAAGAAAGAGCAGCGACTGGGAGAGGTGACCAGCACCCACAGGGTTTTATCCCAAGTGCTGAATTTTATGAATGTCGTTGGAATACGCTGTGACAATTTTGAGCTGGGAGTTCCGTGAGCTCACGGGGCGGGAGCGGGCATTTCAACCCCATCATTTCTCGGGTGAAGCTGCTGTGGAGAAAAGGCTTCTCTGGGGTCGGCTTCGTGGGAGGGGGCACGCAGATTCTCTTCCGCGGGGGAAGGAAGACGTTGATTAATTGCACTTTTTCTGATCCTCTTACCTGGGAACGCAGCAGCTGGGGTTACAGGCACGGTGTGAGTACAAGGCAAACGCAAGGCTTTCCTCCGCCGCTTTGTGGCACAGTCTGGGCGTACAAAAATCCGTCAGAAACAGTTTTTAGGCCTTAAAATCCAACGCACTAACACGTGTGGCTGTTCCAGTCCCTGTGCTGGAGGTGTCGTAGCTGGAGCTCTTTGCGGTGTCACCAGCGCGACCTCCATGCCCCCTTCCTTTAATTCCAGATGTAGCTGCGGTGCAAAGACCTTTTTTTTTTGTGAAGAGCTCCAAAGAGTTGCGCTTGGATTGCTAATGGCGGCACAACCCCGTCCTCGAGCAGCCAAAAGCTCAGAGATCCGGCGGCCGCTTAAAGCACCCTCAGAAACCGAACTTGCGTTTTGTCATCCCACGAGAAGCGTTTGTGGTGCTCTCGAGTTGTTTTTCACACGGGCCTCCGGGCCTGCGGAACAGCCAAACCCCAGCTCGCTGTAAGATTTCTGCTGCCTCAGTCTTCTCACGCTACAGGACTTTAAACTGCATGTGTAAATCATGCTGCAATCTAGGCATTCGAAAGAATATATATATATATATTTCAAAAGGAGAAGCAGGTTTTAATAAATTACTTGAATCGTCGCTGTATTTAAGAAACGTATGGCTTTGGTATGTTTGAGGCTCAGGCACGGTCTCGGCTGGGGGCGGCGGGGTGCTCGTGGGGGCCGCCGG